GGGGCCTCGTACAAATACCCTTCATCACTGATGGGCTCACAGTAGAGTTGGGCTGTAATTAATAACATCGTTGGTTACTAAAAACAAATACCATGAACTGAGTATGTCTCTATCATGATCAAGGCCTTTACATATAGGAAAGACGTCTATGGCTATTTGCTGTAACTGACCAAATAAATAATATAATATAATATAATTAATATAATTATAATTAATATACACACATACCTATGTCTTCAAAGCAGTGGGTAGGATATTTTCCAATTAAAGGGACAAATTCTCCTGTCTGCATCCACAAAGGATGGGGAACCAAGGCCAAATGTGTCATTCACATTATTTTGCGCTTTACTTGTTCAAAGTGCTTTACAAACATTAATTGCTTAATAATCCACATGACATACACACTTTTCCCCAGAGGGATAATTGTCCAATTGACTTGTCCAAGACAGTGGTATGTGTACCTTGGACGTATGGAGTGGTCTTCCAGGGGGCACATCAACTCATCTAGATAGAATATCGGGGTTGGGAAGGGACCTCAGGAGGTCATCTAGTCCCACCCCCTGCTCAAAAAAAGACCAATCCCCAGACAGATTTTTGCACCCAATCCCTAAATGGCCCCCTCACACCCCTGGGTTTAGCAGGCCAATGCTCAAACCACGGAGGTATCCCTCCCCTCTTGTAAAACTAGTTGTCTAGTTTTACAAGAGGCTACATAAACGTCACTAACAAACTAAAATTTCATGCAGACAATGACTTGTTTACACTGCTCTATATACTATACACTGAAATGTAAATACAATATTTATAATACAGATGACTTATTTGATAATTATATGGTAAAAATGAGAAAGTAAACATTTTTTCAGTAATAGTGTGCTATAGCACATTTGTATTTTTATGTCTGATTTTGTAAAGCAGGTAGTTTTTAAGTGAGGTGCAACTTGGGAGTACACAAGACAAATCAGACTCCTGAAAGGGGCACAGTCATCTGGAAAGGTTGAAAGCCACTGGTAAGATAACCAAAAGAGGAAATCACAAGACTGGAACCTAGATCTTACAACTCCCTATCCTATGTGTCTAGTCCACCTGACCACACTGCCAGCCCTGACAGGATATTCTGATATCACAATATGTTCTCTCACTTCATCTGATTCTTTGTAAGCCTATATCTTGGTACTGGAGCTGGTCAGAGAAAGGAAATTCTATTTCATGGAGGATTTCGATATTTCAAAATTTCATTTTACTTGGATTTGGAATGAAAACCTGGGCCAGGGCTCCCCGACTCTCAGCTCCCTGTCAGCCCGCCAGGCAGGCTGCCTTCAAGCCAGGTGGGCAATCCGGCCTGAAACAAGGCAGGTTTCACAATCCACCTGGCAGGCAGGATTTTGTCACAATTTCTCCAATCAGCTCTAACTGGGAGCAGGTTTCCCAGGCTGGGCGGGGGAGGACAGTGGCAGATCTGAAGCATTATCTCCTCCCCCCTCCCACGCAGGCTTAAGATAAAGCTAACAAGATCAGAAAACCCCTTTGCGGACTAAACTCATGGATGTCAGGGTCACCACCAGTGATGGCTACATGGCAGCCTCATTCTTGGAGTTAAGCCCTGGACTGCCACACTGATGACTATAGGCTTCTTTTGGTGTCCTGAGAACTGTGGATTCAGATATAATTGAGAGCAGGATTTGGCCCCCTATCTTTAACTTTTGCTCCTTTCCCTGAATGGGTTCATTCAGCATTACAAAGAGAGAGAAGAATTCTCCCCTAAGCTACATATGGTGGATCTTGATCTCAATCTTCTCTTCTCCCTACAGAAGCAAGATTCCTATTGCTATCTGTGGTAGTTCTGCACCTTTAGAGATAGCAGAATACTGGAAGTGAGATCTGTCTGGATGCATTTGAGATGTATATTTTGCCCAAAAGGGAGGAAAAAATGAAGTTACCTCACAGTGTGGGTTGTGCCTGATATGAAATGTTCTCATTTGCTACACTATTCACAGTGTAACTAAATGAAAGTTTAAAAAATAATATTGTGACAATGTGTTAAAAGAAAATTGAATCAATGGAGTTCCAAATCATAAATAATAGCCAGACATGGCATAATGGAGTGGAGCATCATAGCCAAATATTCTAAGGAGAAAGAATTAGCCTGAACCAGGATCAGAGCCACATTGTGCTATTTACTATAAATGGAGTAAGGATACAGCTACACAGCAATTAATCACCTGCAGCTGGCCTGGGTCAGCTGATTCGGGCTTGCGGGGCTTGGGCTGCACGTCTGTAAAATTGCTGTGTACATGGTTGGGCTCGGGCTGGAACCCGACCTCTGGGATCCCATGCGGGGGAAGGATTCCAGAGCCCAAAAGTCTACACTGCAGTTTTTAGCCCTGTAACTCACACCCCACAAGCCCGAGTCAGCTGACCTGGGCCAGCTGTGGCCATGCCGTGGGGCTTTTATTCCAGTGTAGACGTGCCCTGTCCCAAAGAGTTTAAATTCTAGACAAAGTGTGGGAGAGGAAACAGAAACACAGAGATCTGAAATGACTCACCCCAGGCCACCACTGAGAATAGAACATGGGTCTCCTGACTGGAGCTAGGTGAAATGTTTTGGACATATAGTTTCATCACAAAAATTGCAATTTCAATCGACTCAAAACTATTCACAAATTTGACACAAATTCATTGAATAGTTTTGGCCAAAAAAAAAAATGGGACCAGATTCATGAGGAGGAATATATACTTAATCCAGTGGTTAGGACACCTCTGGGATATGGAAGACCCAGCATCCCTGCTCTGGAGCAGGGACTTGAATCCAGGTCTTCCCTCTCCCAGATGAGTGCCCAGGTCACCTGGCTACAGTCAGTCACTCTCTCACTCTCTTTCCCCACTCCATGACTATTTGAGAATTTAATTTATACAAAGTGAAAAAACTTCACCTACCTCAGCATATCCTATAGCCTGTGATGTATTGTTGGAATTACAACCTATCACTTTAATATTAGGAGGAGTGTGTGGGGGTTTCCTGGTCCTGGTTGTAAGTTGGGGGCTCTGTAGGGCAGAATGCAATCAGTCTGTGAAAAGGCAGCCTACAGAAAGGTGGAGTGAGTCATGCCTCTTTGCCTTATGGAGCAGCCTGCTTTGTCTCTCTCTGTTTTGGGGTTCTTGTGTGTTATCAGTTTGAATTCTAAAAAATAAAGTGGTGTCAGTTTGAAATCTTCCAGCAAGAGTAGTTTATATTTTTATCTAACTTCTATGTTTATATGCTGTGAAACATAATATTGGTCAGAGGTTAGGGAATGCCAGTGCAGTAATTTGGCCAGCTCTGCTCCTGACTCCCAGGCCAGTGCCAATTCTACTGGACCATGCTGCCTCTGTGAGGCATGGAAGTCTCGACTGTTGGCTATGCACTAGTATAGTATTGACTGTATTGAATTTCATCCTGATTTCCACTGGTACAAGATCAGAAACAGATTCAGGCAAAAACATACAGTAAAAGTAATGCAGTGGAGGAACTGCAAAGACAAGTTAACAGGCTGAGCATGCAAGAATCTTAATCAAACGAAAAGGAAGCTCATAAATTCTGGGAGACCGCTCACAAAGTCTCCACAGGCATGTCCACAAAAGGGACATCTCTAATGAATCTTATCAATGTATGGAATGTAGAAAATTATATTGCAGAATGTGAGACTTGAGAAGCTGATTGTCACTGTTTTAAAAAAAACAACAAAAACCAAATGCTTCCATTAAAATGAAGACTTACAGTGTCTAAAAGACTTTAATGATAGCCGAGGTTTAGAAGATGTCATTGCCTTCAGGACCCGCAGCCTCCCCTGAAAGAAAGGACTGTTTTTAGCTCTGTGTAATTGCAGGATGTCTTTTCACTCCAGAGTGAAGGGGATTATCTCCAAACATAAGACAAATAATAAGAAATTATCTTTCTCTTCCAGGCAGCTAATTAAACAGGCCCAATATCAACAGTAATTTCTGCCGTATTGTAGCTACAAAAATTATTGTCAGGGACCAAAAAGCAGTAGGAATAAAGAATATATCATAGAAACATAATGAGGTAATTATTACCTAAATATATAGAGAAAAATGTCTTATGTTTGCAATGTAAAACTCTCAGTTATGGATTATCTTTTTCTCGCACCGATGTTTATTGTATTCTCTCTCTCTGGCTTACTTTTTCTCTCTGTACAAGCCACTGTACAGTGCTTTCTACCCAATACCTTTCCTTACATTGGAAAGATAGGGTCAGCAGGTGCTTTTCATAGAGTCCTGTAAATTTCAGATCCTTTTCATCAATGTATAGGCCAACTCAAGGAGGAAATGTGAAATTTTATTTCTGAGTCATTTAAATGGAAAATTTGCACAACAGAACTCTCAAGGATCAAACTTAATTTCCCTTCTAGAATGTGAATGGGTCTTACTTCTTACAAAAAGAAATTCATGGCTACAGTGAAAAGAATCCTAAATATTTCAGAAGACAATTCCAAATGTATGTCACAATACTGTTTCCCTTTAGACCCGAGCAGCTTGAGGCCTTGAAGGTTGAGCAGTTAGGAGCAGAAATTGACAGTGATGATGCAATCGTGTTTATTTACAAGAAATGCACAAGTCCTGCTCCTACAAAGGCAGGAGGAATCCAAAACAAAAGGAACAATTTCTGAGCATACAGACCCCTGGCTAGAACAACAGGGGGAGGGATAGCTCAGTGGTTTGAGCATTGGCCTGCTAAACACAGCGTTGTGAGTTCAATCCTTGAAGGGGCCACTTAGGGATGTGGAGCAAAACCAGTACTTGGTCCTGCTAGTGAAGGCAGGGGGCTGGACTTGATGACCTTTCAGGGTCCCTTCCAGTTCTATGAGATAGATATATCTCCATATATTAATACCCAGTCAAATCCTCTATCCACCTGGTGCTAGTTTCTGGGCTGACTCTATCCAGCCTTGTTTAGGCGTGGCCTCTAAATTGTCTTTTACAACTATCTTAAATGAAGGGCACATTCATACCTCAGAGGGGTAGCTATGTTAGTCTGTATCAGCAAAAACAATGAGGAGTCCTCGTGGCACCTTAGAGACTAATCAATGTATGTATTTATTTATTTATTTTGTATCAATTTGTTAGTCTCTAAGGTGCCAGAAGGAATCCTCGTTGTTTTCATTCATACATCCGTTTCAACAAGGTTTTAACTCAACCCATAGCAAGGTTTGACTCAGTTTGTAACAACAGAGTGAGAGATTTCCTGCTTCAGTGAGCATCACGATTTTTTTTATTGCCATTGACGGAAGACACTGAATTTGATTTAATCTCTGTGACTCTTCATGGAACATACCCTGACTGTTTTTCTTTTCCCCCCACAAAAAAGGCTAAATAGGAGCGACTCCATTTGCTCATGTTGTCATGGCTCAAACTTTAGTCCAAGTTCAAATTCTACTGCTAACCCATGGGGGTGGTCATAATTTACATCTCGAGTCAATAAATGTTAGTGTTCATCCAAGTTAGGCGGGAAGTCCTCCTCCATTGAGCTAGTAAGCCTCTGAGCTCACCTATGAGATCAGGGCCCACCTGTGAGTTAGGCAGAGGAATGCCTAGAGTGAGGCGGTAGGAAGCTTTTACTGCTGAATGAGTTTAGGTGCCTACAGGGTTAAGGGGCAGCTAAGCGAGGATTTTGTGAATACCAGTAGTACCCAAATCTGGGAATTAGGTGCCTAAACCCCTTTGTGAAACTATTCCTAGCTCTCCATTCTCTCTAGGATTAAATTCAAAATACCTCCATATGGGCTAAATTCTGCCTTCGGCTGCAAACAGAGCTCCAGATGGAAGTCAGTAGAAGTCGTGTACAATCTCATTGCAACTTGCCTGTCCAATTTCAAAATGGGGCTTTTTGTATTTAAAGTTATCCAAGTACTTGAGTTTAAGGCACATTATTCTATTCTATGCCCTTTCTCTCTTCCTCACACCCTCAAGTTGAGGTTCATCTCCATTATTAAACTGATCATTATTGTCAAAGGTAGCTCATTGTGTGTCTTTGGCTCCACTGTATAGAAAAGCCTTTCTATATTTCTCCACGTCATTGATTTCTTTTCCAGTGCCAGTCCTGTCTTAAACCCTCCCTCCCTCCCTCTCTTATCTTGCAGGCCTCTGATTCCTGTCCCCAGATGCCTTCCATTTTTATCCGGTCAACTTTTATGCTCGTAATCATTTAATATATTTCTTGATTGTTCATGGAACACTGAGTCTTTATGTGATTGGTCACACTGTATATTTGAAACTGACTAATGCTGATGTGCAGTGATGTGATTCCTCCCCGCTACCTCAGCCAATTAAAAAGATGCCACTTAAAACCAAAATTACTTGGCTGTCTTTTTTTTTTTATGTCTACAGATTTTTACAAAATTACTTCTTCCTGCATTTCTGTGTTTGACGTGCACTGCCATTAAGCTACTTTTCAAAACCTGCTTGCCAGTGCTCTTCAACCTCTCCAACGTTCAAACATTGTGTCAGGGCACAGAACTATCGGTGGATTTAAAGAGCCATATGGCAATAATGTGGCACTCCTGTAACAAAAGAAGGGACTCTTCCAAGAGAGATGGCACTTGCAGCATTTGGCTGCCTGCCCGTGTAAAACCATTGTTGGTTGGCACCAATGGCCCAAAGAAACTGGCATGCCATCCTAACAGAAGGGCTTGAGTATAGGCAGCCAAGAGACCATATATGAACATCAAATGTGTTCTAAAAGAATAGTTCATTGCCAAGAATATATCAGTGCTTGTCTGTCTTGTGTAGTCAAGGAGAAAAGAAAACCTGTGCGGTGAGCATGGTAAGGGTTAGAGGCCTCAAAAAAATCACTCAGTTTATAGCAACAGTCACAAAATGCAGCTGATATCATTGACTAAAATTCAAGAGACTCATTATAGGTTTTTTATATTTTTGGTATTGAACACCAGAATGTGGTTGTTGTTGGTATTGTAATAAACTCACTAGTGTATATGTGTACCACTGCCCTCTGCTGGGTAGCAAGAGAACTGCTAAAAAGTGTGTCATAGTGACTCATAGGCCCCATACTGCTAGAGGTAACGTATTCTCCTTTAGCTTGAAAGGAAAGGGGACAGCGCTTCTGAAGTGGGAGGATATATGAGTTTTATTCCCACAGTTTGCCATGAAGTTACATGTGGGCAGCACAAGGATAAATTAGTAGCTCTTAGAGATCTTCACAAAATCAACTGGAATTTTATTTTTAAACTAATACTTCCAGTATGAAAGTAACCCTGTAGTAGTATAAATTAAAACAAAATAATCTACTGCATATAAGTCATTTTTTAAAAGGTGGCCGATGAAGATACTGACTAGAACTGGTAAAAAAAACAAGAAAAGAAAAGGTCCTTTATTTTTTCAGTAGAATTCATCATTTCAAAATTTAAAAGTTGATCAGAAGTCAAAAAAATTCCAACAAGCTCAAGAATGGGGATGAGAAGATCCAGAAATGTTCCCACTTTTTAATGTAGAAATTTAGAGCCAGCTGTAATTCTGAAACTACAAGTTTACACTATAGCAGTGGTCTCCAACCTTTTTACGCACAGGATCACTTTTTGAATTTAAGATCAACCCAGGTTTTCCCCCGCCCCTTCCCCTGAGGCCCCGCCCCACTCACTCCATTCACCCCTCCCTGTCTCTCGCTCAGCAGAGTGTTGGGGTGCGAGAGGGGGTCAGGGGTGCAGACTCTGGGAGGGTATATGGTGCAGGCAGGGCCGGCTCTAGGATTTTTGCCGCCCCAAGCAAAAACAATTTTGGCCGCCCCCCCCTG